CTGAGAACCTCTCTTTGAGGCCCCTGGCTTCCCGCTGGGCTTAAAGTATACGTCCTATAGAAAAGTACAGCTATTACAGGCCCAGCGCGTGACAGAACAAAAGTCATGGCCAACGTTGGTAGAGGTCTCTTCTACTTTTGAACCCACATCACAGAGACAAGGACATGGGTGCTTTTCTCAGGTGTTCATATCAGCCAAGGCCAAAATAAATTATGAGACAACCTCAAATGAATTATAAAAGTAACAAAGTTAGGCTAGTTTGCATGTGTAACAGGACTTTCTTTGTAGCAGCACCCTGATTATTGAACTTCTTCTGTTTTGAGCTTTCAGCCAATAGTTGCTCATAGCCTTTCACATTTGAAATTGCTCTGTTTTGAAATTATTTATTTATTTATTTAGTTATTGACTATATTTATATACCGCCCCTTCCAGCCCACAGGTGACTCGGGGTGGTGTACAGTCAGCATCAAAAACATAAAATACAATAAAAACAGTTAATTAAATATAAAACCGGATTATTTATTTATTTATTTACCTTACTTATATACCGCTGTTCTCAGCCCGAAGGCGACTCACAGCGGTTCACAACAAATACGAACAGCAAAAATTCAGTGCTACAGTATAGAAACAGTTAACAACCTAACACATTACACAATTAATAAACAGTTACTACAATACCCATTCACTGTCGTCTCGTCATCAAAAACATGTTCCAGATTCGTCATCCATTGTTCCATTCCAGTGTTCATTAACCAATCATTGCACTAATTATTCGAACGCCTGCTCAAACAGCCAGGTCTTCACTTTTTTGCGGAATACCATTAGAGATGGTGCTAGTCTAATGTCCGTAGGAAGGGCATTCCACAGCCGATAAAACAACAATATCAATAAAGACATGTATCAGTTTGAGTCTCCTTGTTAACAACATTATCCAATAGCGTCATCCAGCCGTTCTGTTTTTTCTCTATGTCTGTTATATTGTGTCTGTGAACGCTTGCTCAAAAAGCCAAGTTTTGACTTTTTTTCTGAATGTTAAAGGGAAAGGGGCCAATCTAATATCCCTGGGAAGGGCGTTTCACAGCTGAGGGGCCACCACCGAGAAGGCCCTGTCTCTTGTCCCTGCCAAACGTACTTGTGACAAAGGTGGTAACGAGAGCAGGGCCTCCCCAGACGATTTTAAGGTCCTA